ACACACACACACACACACACACACACACACACACACACACACACACACACACATACAAACATGCATGTCAAACACACACACCAGCGAAACGAGAATGAATCTTTTCGATATGCGAAAAAATGTATTATCGTTTTGCACGTTCGTGCAAAACCCGGCCGCACCCTCTCTCTCTCTGGCCACCCGTTTTATTTCTCCATTTTTCTTTTTCCTTTTTAGAATAGCGTTTTTTTTTTTAAAGTTTTTTTGAGAAATGGAGAAAAATCCGCTACAGGTAGCTCTAGGCTCGGCAAGGCCAGGCTTACCGGTAGCGGGAAGGGTTGGACTTGATAATTGTGCGAGGTACTAGTGGTGAAAATGAAGCCTTGAGAGATGCCACTTTTGCTTGTAAGGAAAAGGGGGAAAAAAATGGTAACTAGGGCGCAGTCACTATTTCAATTTTAAATCCAGTTCAGGCGTCCCTCGAGTATAACACATCCCCACCCGACCCTACAACAGGGTTTCATACATTCACGATTTCCCTTTGTTTGACACAACATTCACGTATTTTTAAACTGAAACTATGACAGTGCCCTACCAAAACAAGGGAAAATAAAGCACAAAGCTACCTGACTGGTGTTGTTGAGGGCCTCCCTGAACGTCTCACCAACCAAATAAATGAAGCGGAGTCGGGACATAGGTAGACAAACGTTGCTCATTTTTTGTTTTTTTCATATTTGGTGTTAGGTGGAAGGGAGGGGATAGCGTGAGGGAGTGAGTGAGAGGGTGAAAAAAATAAAAAGAACTAACGACCTCGCCACACTACTCCAGGCTTGGAGAAAAATTTCGGGAGTACTCCCGAACGTCCGAAGACAAAATCCACTTGGGAGTGCGCTTCGGCACACTGCACTCCCGACTTGGGGCGCTCTCCAATTTGGAGGTCAGGAGGCGCACTCTAGAACCTCGTTCGACACCACTACAAAATCCTTACTTTTTAAGGGTGTCCTTATGATGAAAAAGTGATTAATTTTCTCTTATCCAATTTTCCGTTTCACAACCACTTACGAAAACCCTACACTTAGGTGCACTTACGTTTCATGTGCTTCTGTTTACATTCTAAGCAGCCGAAAGAGGAATCCGAATGTCCGACCCGCAGTTGCGACGGACGAAGTCGTGTCCGCCACCTTTGGGCCCATGGGACAGCCGGTCCGACCTCATCCCAAAGTTAAGTTGGGCTGTGATTTGGGCCCCCAATGTCATCTGCCCACGAGGAGAATCCTCGTGAGGACCCTCACCATTCGAATTCCAATTCCACGCCACCAATTTGCTTCGCGCACATTGCATTCTAGAGTTCTTGTGTGCGCGTTTTCGATGTTGCATGCGTCAATATTCTACCGTCATGGCACCGCACGTGGCTTCGTCTGACTGTCGTGTGGCGTGTTTTCGCAAGGGTGTTCAGCTATGGACGGCGGTGGAAGGGATGAGGCGACGATGAGGAGACTGTCACTCCGTGAGAAGACCATGGTCGCCAGTGCCGTCCTTGCAGTCTGTCGGCACATGGAGACAGTGAACGGACTAGGTAAGGGTAGGAGGGAGGCCGCCATAGCCTAGGCATTGGGAGACATCTGCACATCTTCAAGTGTGTCATACGCTCGTTTCCTGCTGTCCAACGCTATTATCACGGGTATTTTGTCGAGGGATACACCTTGGTGGTGGATGAAAAGACGGACTGGCGGGACGTGGCAAAACTTGGATATCGTTGACGATGCCACAAAGGAGTATTTCCATGACAAACTGCGAATGTCATGGACCATATTCAGCGACATCGTCCCAGCGTGCAACCCGTTCATCGAGCGTAGACTGACTCGTTACCAAGAGCCTTTGCAACTCGACCTCATCGTTGACGGAGGCGGTGCCCATGCCAAATCGTTAAGCAATGGTTACTGGTGAGGAGGCAGATGCGAATATAGATTCGGATCAAACCTGTGGTGCATGTTGTGCTCCACTCCACTCCCACCTCTGTAGGCCCCCCCTGCCCATCCCATAACCCCGTGCCCCCTACTGTATCCATCCCCCATGCCTTTGCTTGTCGAAGAACCCTGTCGAAGCCTCTTCAAACCCTTTCTCCTTCCACGCCGGCTATGAGCACCGCCCAGTTGGCGCAAGTGCAGAATGATCATCAGTACCAATGCCCCAAGCAGGATAATTAGCAGAGTTGTTTTCCTCACCATGTCAGCCATGCGCTCCTCCAGCAAAGTAAAAGGAACGGAACTGCCAACTTTCCAACAGGATCACATGTCACGATTGACAACAGAGGGGCAGTAATGCCGAGGGGCGTCGTAGACAACCCACGTCCGAATTCGACCTAAGACCGCAAACGACCATCTCACCCGCCTCCACACGGACCCCTATGGCGATCGCCTCCAAACGCCAGCCGAAACGGCAAACCGGAGGAACTGCGGGGGCACAGGTAGGGCACTGCACGACTGTTGGAGGTTGCCATGGAACTGATGTCCCGCGATCTACCTGACAACACCGGCGTTGGACCAGGAACGCCCAAGACACACCTGACATAAATTAAAAAAAAAAAACAAAAAAAAAACATGGATGTAAGGGTGCCACCCCCTACTTTCAAGTCACCTCCACGACCGTCCTTACGTTAAACCACCAGTACTTGGCCCAGCTATCGGTCGTAGGCCTTCCCAGTTAATGCGCCACCATCGTCGGGGGTCGGCCAAGGGAAGGCCCAGTCGGTGCTTGAAGGTCGGGCTGCGGGTTTGTCGGGATGAAACAACAAAGAGAACCAAAAACGAAGGGAAAAAAAAAACTCAAATACGAAAACATGAAAAATACAAAGAAAACGAACCATAAGAAACAAAAGTTGCGCGGCAGGGAGGGATATATATATATATATATATATATATATATATATATATATAGAGAGAGAGAGAGAGAGAGAGANAGAGAGAGAGAGAGAGAGAGAGAGAGAGAGAGAGAGAGAGAGAGAGAGAGAGAGAGAGAGAGAGAGAGAGAGAGAGAGAGGGAGACAGAGGCGGCGAGTTTGCCGCGGCCCTTCGTGCAGGTTGCGGCTCCTCTCTCTCTCTCTCTCACACACACACACACACAATGGCTCTCAAAGTGTGCAAAACGAGAGTGAATCTTCCGCTAGAACATGGAAAGATACACCACCATGATTATTGTCTTTTGTGCATGTCGAGGTACTTCCCGCTCTTTTTCTTTTTTCCATGTTTTTTCTTATAGTAGAGTAAATCCCGTTTGTCTGTCGTTGTTTTTTGTATTTTGTGTTTTTTCTTTTCTTCTCTTCTTTTTTCCGTGTTTTTCTCCAAGTACGTTTGGGAAGTTAGCGCTCGGTAGTTCGAGCCTCGGCAAGGCTCGGCATACTGGTTGGCCGAGGCTCGGACTTGATAGCTGGGCCAAGTACTGGTGGTTTAAGGTCCGTTTTGGCTGGGGAGTCCTTACTTTTGTAGGGCCTGGCCTTAGGGCCGCGAATGTGAAAACAAATTCGACTTCTTTTTCTTCGTGATCAGCGAGGGGTGGAACGATGAAAACCTTATGTAAGGGTTTTGTAGTGGTGTCGAACGAGGCCCTCAGACCGACTGTCCAGCAGTGTCCAGCATGTGGCGACGAAAACTGTGAGGAGAATGCTTGTCTGCGTCGAAACACAAGCCTCCGCGAGAGGTCTCCTGAAAATGGCCTTTTCTCGAAAACGGCCTTCTACAGACGGGAGGCTCAAGCGATTTCGGGAATGCTCTCGAGAGCCACATTCTGACAGCTCCCGAATTCAATCTGACAGGTTGAACTCGGGAGCTCTTTTGGCGAAGCTGCACTCCCGAAAATGGCCAAGTCACCATCCTTCGGGACATCCGTTAAAATTGGAACTATGCAGAGAAGATTAGCATGGCCCCAGTGCCCAAGGATGACACGCATAAATCGAGAAATGGTCCAAAATTTTGACTGTATTTGTTGCGAATTCGGGTTGTCCTGTCTGACATGGGTTTTCTTGGGACTGAAAACGTGAGAAACAGAAAAAAGAAAAAGAAAAGGCCAAGTCGGGAGAGCAGTGTGGCGAGGCCCTAACGCCACTCTCGAGATGTGCAAAAGACAAGAATGTGGCGGGCGCATCTGGCCATGTTCTAGCGGGAAGTTCATTCTCATTTTGCACATTTTGTTTGAGAGTGGTGTGGCGATGCCCAAAGGGTGGGTGGGTGTTGTCATATGCTCCCTATACACAAACTCCACAAAAAAGAAGGCGGGTCCTGGTGGAGGTTGGATGGTGGGTGGTGGATGGTTGTGGGTGGTGGATGTGTCGCACACCGCATGTTTGCGCTGTGCGCCGTGCGCCGTGCGCCGCTACGAACAGCGCAGCGGGGAAAGAGCCAATCGAGAGCGTGGAAACCGGACACCCTATCCGCCAGGCGGCGCCCGGCGGCGGGGAGGCAAAAGAAGGTCCTAACGGCTGTAATCAACACCAACAACATCAAATCAACACCCACCAACGAACATCATCCCATCGGATCCCATCTCACCGGCGGATCCTGCCTCCTCTCTCTGCTCTCTCCCGCCCATTATAACAAAACCTTTCGCACCCCATCCAGTGGCTGGGCGTTGTCCAATTCCTCCTGCTAGCGCAAGCACTTCGTCGACTTCGCCGCTTGTCGCCGCCGTCGTCGGCCTCCCAACTACCTTCCCTACCTACCTCCCTACCTTCTCTCTCTTCTCTCAGCCAGTCATGGCCTCCACCATCGCCGCCGCCGCGACTACGGGCGCCATAGCCGCCGCCTCGCTCGGCGCCATAGCCAAGGTCAGCGCCAGCCCCAGGTCGAGCGTGAGCTTGAAGATGACTCCCAAGATCGGCCGACTCAACGCCGCCAGGGTCTTCGGCGTGCAGCCGTCGCTTGGCAGGTGCCAGGCGTACAAGGTGACTTTCATCACGGGCAAGGACGAGGTCGTCGTCGACTGCCCGGAGGACGTGTACGTGCTGGACGCCGCCGAGGAGGCGGGACTCGATCTGCCCTACTCCTGCCGGGCCGGCGCTTGCTCCACGTGCGCTGGCAAACTGGAGAAGGGAACCATCGACCAGTCGGACCAATCCTTCTTGGACGACGACCAGGTGGAAGCCGGCTTCGTGCTGACCTGCGTCACGTACCCCACCTCCGATTGCACCATCGTCACGAACCAGGAGGACAAAATCTACTAGACGGCGACAAGAACAGCGTGACTGTGGTGGCGATGACTGACGAGGGGGCGAGGTAGGAACGAGGAGGAGTAAGAGGATGCGGCACAAGAGAAGAGAAGAGAAGAGGAGAGAGGAGAAGAGAAGCGTCTCCCTCTGTTGGGAGTCGGACGCTCTAAGGGCGCCTATGATGGGGGGTTTTCGTTGCTTTCCCTGCGAGTTTGTTTGTTGATTGATTGATTGAATGATTGATTGATTGATTGGTTGGTCATTTGTTCGAGGATTGCTTTGGTTTATAAAATGTCTCGTTGCTCAACAGACAGACTACTAGACTGTACAATGTGGGCATTTTATAAAACCCACTTTCATTTGAGGATTGCTTTGCTTTATAAAATGTCTCGTTGTTCATCCTGCCGATGCCACAACGTTGTTGTTCTCAACTCAACACTTGAGGTTTCGTCGCCAAGCATCCTCTCTCCCCTCTTTCAAGACACTCCCGTCACTACTCGTCCTTTCCCCGCCCTTCCCTCGCGCCCCCGCCCCCTCCCCTTCTCCCCCCCTCCCCCCCCCTCCTTCCTTTCTTCTATAGCATCGTCAGTTTGTGGAGGGAGTCCACTGCTCCTGCCGCACACTTGTCGCTGAACGTCTGCCAGAGTTGTATGTCCTTGACTCTTGTCGCACGTGTGGCACACGCATGCTGCCCGGAGTTGTTGCTATGATGGGTGGGTAGTTGGGTGTGGTGTTGAGCTGGCCTGCTGGCGGGTCATGAAGAGATGACACTTAGTCATTTTCCTAGTCGGCCTTTTGTTAATATTCAACCTCATACTCTTGCGCACGTCCAGGATAGCGATGGGATGAATGTATACTTACGTGTGGGAAAAGGGAGAGGGTGGGTGAGGAGGGGTAGCGAGTAATCTTGTAATCTTAGCCACAGTCTTATCAACCACTTTCTGTCAGAAGCGAAGGGATAATGATCGGATGGATGCGGTGAACGAGAGAGAGAGGGAGGGAGGGAGGAGGTAGAGGAGGCGGCGTGGACCGATTAACGTATAGATAAATTACGTACGTTATTTAGAGGGTCGATTGGAAAATTAGGATTAGCATTAAGAGAAGTGACGGCAGCAGCAGCAGTAGCGCACGGGGTTGTGGCAAAATGTGGGGAAGAGAGAGTAAGACAGAAAGGGGGGGGGGGGGGGGTTGAAACTGCGCCCTCCTGCATTGTTCCATAGCGGAGGAGTGGAATCAGCAGCGGCTGATGGATGGGAAAACGGCCGGAGGGCGGGAAGAGGATTATTTTTCTGAACAGAAGAAGAGGAACACTTGCCACAACTTGAGATTACGTCTCCCTCTCAGAGAAGGGGGACGGGACGGGGGGTCGTGCCAACGACAGCTGGCGGCAATCACATACTTGTACTACGTAGTTCATGTCGCGCGCAATTTGCCGTGTTTTGCAAAGTGTTGGAGAACCCAACTTTTCTTTGTCGTTTTGCGTCTTTGTCGTTTTGCGTCTTTGTTGAATTTTCTGGATGATGCTCGTGCATTCCTCCTCTTGGAAAATTCTTCCCTCCTTTGCCTCCCCCCTCCTGTGTGACCTTCTCTCTCCCTCTCCCTCTCCCTCTCCTCCTCCGCACCCAAATGCGTGGCCGCGTTGTAAGCACAGCATAGCTGACGAACTCTCTACGAAGATTCTTTATCGTTCTGCTCTGTCTGCAGATGTGTACTCCTTCGCTTCATCTTCGTGACTATGTCCTTTTTCTTTCGTTTGGCCGCTCCTTATTTTCGTCGCTTTTGGTTCATCCATTTCTCTCTCCTCCGTGGTCGTTCTTTTCCCTGTATAGCGCTATCTTTCTCTCTGTCGCGCGTGGGTGCTCCCCCTTCTTTCTCTCTCCCTCATTTCTTCATTTCTTTCCTTGTCTCCCTCTCTCTCTGCCCTCCCTCTTTCTCCGCTCTCCGCCCTCCCTCTTTCCGCTTCCGTATCTGTTGGCTCTTCGTCTCTCCGCTCTGCCTCCATCCGCTCTCCCTCTCTCTGCTTTCCCTTGTTTCGCATATTTTCCCTCTAGCTCTCCTCTCTTTTCCCTCTCATTTTCTCTCCACCCCTCTCTCACCCCTTCTCCCCCCGCCCCTCTCCCTCTCCCTTTCTCCCCTCTTCCCTCTCCCCCCTCCTTTTCTCTCTCTTCGCTCCCTTTCTCTCTCTCTCTCTCTGCGTCAGCTTGCCATTTTTTCGCATTACAAACGACGTGCCCTTTTGATTTTTTTTGGGCGGGAGGGGAAAAACTTTTTTTTTTCCCCCCCCCCCCCCCCCCAAAGGGGGGTGCCATTTTGATTTCTTGTGGTATGCGCCATTTTGATTTCTTGTGGTATGCGCTTTTGCAGGCTCTGCTGCTGAACAAGAAACAGATGTAATAACCAATGGCCAGCTCTTGATCTTGCTTGCGAACACGATTCTTCCATCAATGGGAGAAGAAATGTAGAATGCCGATCAAGCATCATTGCTATGCACACGTATGAAAAAACGAAGTTTTTATTTATTTTATTGATTTTTAACTATTTTTTTAATGTCGATTTTTTTGTTCTTCTACCTTTTTTTTTTTCTTTTTTTTTTAAAGCTGCCTTCTCCTCCTCATCGGGGGACATTTCATTACGTGAAAAAATAAACGTCACGTAACGACTCGTCAGTTCGGTGATGGTACCTCAGGTGATTACTCGGTCGGGATTCGCTGCCCCCCGTCAGTTCGGTCATGGTACCCCTCAGGTGATTAGCTGTGGGCGTCCCCCCTCCCCCCCCCTCGCCCTCCCCCCTTTCGCTGTTGATATAAACAGAGCCTAGTTCGGGTCCTCTGAGCGAACCAACCGAATCAAATAAAGCCTGAAGTAGCTGGGGTCTTGTCAGTCCGCCGATGATACCTCCGGTAAATGAGCTGGGGGCGACCATAAAATACTGCAATACAAAAAAAAAAAACTGTAATACTAAGTGCTTGAAATATCGGTTCTCGCTCCAAAAAAATAAAAATAAAAAAAATCGGTTCTCGCTCCACACTACTCGCGCACAAAACAAAGACAACGAATATGGTGGTGGTGTATCTGCCCATGTTCTAGCGGAAGATGCACATTTGGTGAATAGCGGAGCGAGGACCCATCATCATCGAGACCTGACCGGCTAGGTGAAATTAAGGATTAAAAAATAAAAATGAAATAAAATAATTATAATGATAATAAAGGATTTTTCAGATTTTTGTATTTCATTCTAGTTCCGCCAGCATTCGAACTCGGGGGCGAGGTCGTACTAGCAAAGAGGATTGAGTAGAACGCCTTAATTTGGCCGCTTTTGTGGACGAGTGCAGAAAGTCGAGATTGAACTCCTTTTCTGCATCTCTGCCTAAAACACGCCCAGATGCAGGATATTGATCCAATCCCCGTTGCTAGTGGGACCCTGCTCCAGGTGTGCATTCGGACGGATCATTGATGTACCGACTGAGATGCATCTTCACCCGAATAGAACACACTCCCCGGTATCATATCACAGGAGCGGATTTGGGACAACCTGTAGTCGAGATGCAGCGATAATTACGTGGCGTTCTATTCGGGGGGTGACGGTAGTCGGGTTCGTTCGCTTGATACCTTTGGGATGATGCTGGTGCATTCGGGTGAAGTCGGTAGTCATCGTACATGTACCAGAGCAGCGTGTTACTGGTCAATATGCTCGGGCAGATGCAGCTACGAAGATATACTGCAATGCGCAGGCATGCCCATACAGAGCTTACTGCAGCGAGAGGCCCTCAGCTGCCAGGGGCGAGGTCCGACTAGGTAGCTCTGAAGATTGTGGATTTGAACGCCTGAATCGGGATGTGTTTGTCGAGAGGTGCATAATCCCGATTGATCTATCTGCTTAGCTGAATCTCTGCGAGAAACACGTCCAGATTCGTGGGCTTAATCCAATCGTCTTTGCTACCGGTAGTGGTACCTTGCCCCAGGGAGCGGTAATCCGTCCCGTCTGTCAACGCTCCTCATGGTCAGTGATGGTAGGGTCGTTTGCTATCTTTTTTTTTTTTTTGTGTGTACGGTCGTTTGCTATCTTTTTTTTTTTTGTGTGTACGGTCGTTTGCTATCCTTTTTTTTTGTGTGTGTGTAGTGATGGTAGGGTTGTTTGCTATCTTTTGCGTGTGTGTGTGTGTGTGTGTGTAGTGATGGTAGGGTCGTTTTTTATCTTGTGTGTGTGTGTGTGTGTGTGTGTGTAGTGATGGTAGGGTCGTTTTTTATCTTGTGTGTGTGTGCGTGTGTGTGTGTGTGTGTGCGTGTGTGTGTGTGTGTGTGTGTGTGTGTGTGTGTGTGTAGTGATGGTAGTTGTTAAGTATGTTTTGTGTGTGTGTGTGTGTGTAGTGATGGTAGGGTCGTTTGCTATCTTCGTTTGCTATCTTTTGTGTGTGTGTGTAGGCCATAGACACTGCTGCATCCCCTGGATTGTGAGAGGTACCTATATACTTGCAGGGGTAGGCTGTATAGGCGTAGGAGTAATGGTAGGTAGGTAGTAAAAACGGGAATATGAGAAAAACGAAAAAAAACGGAATGCTGGTCTTGGAACTGTTTTCGTTTAGTTTTTATATTTATTGAGAAGCAACAATTACGGCATTTCAACTCCCCGATCCCCCCTCTACCCACTCTATCCGCAGGAGGTGGTAGGTGCAGCAGCTCTCACCCCCCCTCCTTTTCCCCAGCCATTTTTCGCCGGTGCCCCCTTGCTTCTGTAAGTTTCGTGGGTCAGCGCACCGGATGGAAAAGAAGCCCTGTGCGGGTGCGCGCTTGGGCTTCTTTTCTCTCACAGGACCCTTTCCTTGCGCAGGCATGTCCAGGCTCAGCAAGGTGAAGGGCCGAAAGTACCGGTGGGTTTAAACCACTACCTTCTTCCCTCGAATACAACGTACGGTCATTATAGCTGTGTTTGCCGTGGCTGTCAGTATGAATTCAGTTCAGGTATATGTACCTCTACGTTGTGTTCGGGGGAAGAAGGTAGTGTGCCTTTCCCATGCTTTCTCCTACCGTCCTACGTTGTACTGTATTTGGGGGAAGAAGGTAGTGCCTCTCGCATGCAGCCTCCTACTCCCACTCTCGGGACGTGACTCTCACTCGATTGTACATCCATCCAGGCAAAACGGGCCTTGCGTCCAACCCGTTTTGCCTGGATGGAAGTGCCCACCAAATGGCACCCCAGTACGTACAGTGCCTTTCCCATGTCTCCCTCCTCCCACTCTTGGGACGTGAGTCTCACTCGCTGTACATCCGCCCAGGCAAAACAGGCCTTGCGCGCAACCCGTTTTGCCTGGATGAATGTGCCCACCAAATGGCACCCCAGAGCTTGGTGGCAGCATATGCGCGCCCAGACTCCGAAAAAAAAAGGCAAAATGGCGGGAAACAAAAAAAGCAAAATGGCGGGAAAAAAAAAGGCAAAATGGCGGCAAACTTACTGGGGGTGTACCCGGCCAAGCCAAACCCTTGTAGCCCAATATGTACTCGACGGTGGTTGGGGTGACTTTCGCCCGTGGCTGTATAGTCGCAATGCTTGTTGCTGTTAGTGGAGGGCCAAATGCATTGCTGCTAGGCCCAAGAGCAGCAACAAGAGGGAAAGGAGGAAATGCATTGCTGCTAGCCCAATAGCAGCAACAAGCAAGCAAAGGATATAGCCAAGCTCATCGGCACGGATAGGGCCGAATGCATTGAGCCTACAGCCACGGATTGTCAGCCATACAATGGCGGGGGGCGGAGTTGTGGGGGGGTTGTTCTGTGCACTCCTGGCGAAAAGGGACGGCCATGTTTTTTTTTGTTTTTTTTTTTTTGGACGGCCTTATTCTGTTACTAGTGGTGGGCCAACAGCAAAAAATCCTAGCTGAACAACTTTTACACGTGGCGGCCGGTGCAGCGAAGGCTTCGATGTCATGGAATTTGAGCCAATGGCACTACTGGATAGTTGCTGTGCTGTGTGTGTGGTCACGACCGAGAGGTTGCTCCCGGGGCCAGGTCCCTCTAGCAGCGTTGAGTTTCCTCAACGCCTGAATCTGGACGCGTTTGTTCGTGGAGATGTGCGGTTCAGAAAACTCAACTCGATTTCTCCACATATCCACAGACACGTCCAGATTCAGGCGTTGAGAAAACTCAACGCTGCTGGTGGGACCTGGCTCCCGGAAAAGTGCAGTCGTTCAGATCAGTGCGCGCAGGGTGTGGCGATGGGAGGGACACTATCTCGCGTCCTTCGTTTTGGACCGCAGATTGTGGCGCCCAGGCCTTGTGCACGAAGTCCCATTCACCTGGTGAGAAATCGATGTATTTTACAGTCGCTTGTGTGTGTGTGTGTGTGTGTGTGCGTTTTCAACTCTCAATTGAAACCGGGGAAGGTGCCCGGCGTCCCTCACATGAATGCCGCAGGCACTCTGGGCTGAGAAAGGGACTCCCGGCCAATCCTATTTTCTGTCTTTTTCTTATTTTCTTTTTAACGAACAGTTGATCGCCTAGCTCAGTTGGTAAGGCACGCAAGTGGCATTCAGGAGGTCTTGGGCTCAATCCCCATTGGCCTCATGTACCTTCCTGGGCATGCTTGGCGCCCACCATCTAGAGATAGCCCGTTGGTCCCTCCAATTGGCATTAAAAAGCAGTCTCTGCTGATGTTCATAGGGGGTGGGGTACTCAGG